TTTTTTCATAAAGATCGCTTAGTTTGTTCTTAAAGATAATTAATTTTGTTCCTTAAGATAGATTAGTTTGTTCTTAAAGATCTTTTAGTTTGTTCCTAAAGAACATTTAGTTTTCTGTTAAAGATCGCTTAGTTTATTCTTATAAATCATTTAGTTTACTATTAAAGATCATTTGTTTTGTTCTTAAAGATCATTTAGTTCGGTCTTAAAAATCGTTTAGTTTGTTCTATTAGAGCGTTTAGTTGGTTATTAAAGATCGCTTAGATTGTTCTTAAAGATCGCTTAGTTTGTTTTAAAGATCGCCTAATTTGTTCTTAAATGTGGCTTAGTTTGTTGTTAAAGATCGCTTTCACTGAGTATTAAAATGATCGAAAATCTGAGTCACTTTCGGCCATCCGGCCAAAAGTCTAAGTCAATTTCGGCCGAAACCGAAGAAAAACCGAAAGTTAACTTTTCTCTTTCGGCCGAAACCGAACTTAAGCCGAAAGTTAACTTTTCAGTTTCGGCCGAAACCGAAACGTGGCCGAAAGTGATAAAATGGCCACTTTCGGCGCCGAAACAGAAGCCGAAGCCAAAATTCGGTCGGTCTCTACCATCGATAGTGGTGTCATGTGTTACAAAATAAACTTTGGAGATTTTCGTTGACACGCGTACATTGTTAGAAATGGTGTGTTTGTGTGTGTGTGTGGGGGGGGGTAGGAAAATGTGGACATGATTAGGGTAAGGTATGCAGTGTTTCTTTCAGGCTTCTCTGCGGGGTGGGAAACTGCCCCCCTCCCCCGAGGACGTTAAGTGCCAGCGCCCCCCCCCCCCCAGGGGGGGGGTAGGAAAATGTGGAGATGATGAGGGTAAGGTATGCAGTGTTTCTTTCCGGCTTCTCTGCGGGGTGGGAAACTGCCCCCCTCCCCCGAGGACGTTAAGTGCCAGCGCCCCCCCCCCCCAACCCGATACAAATGTGTAAAATAATTCATTTGCTGCCCTCTCGGATACTCTTTCTGAGCTAAGTGCTATTTTTAATTTTGTTCTGTTTTTTTCTGTTGTTTTGTTCGCTGACGAAGGCTTCCTGCTGACACGTTCGTAGTTATGTTGCTTTCCTTTTTCAGGTTTAACCTTACTTTGTTTTACTAATTTCATAAAATAACGTAAAACTGTTTTTAAAATACGCCTCTTGGTCGACATGTCATAATGGGACGGCCATGTCATAATGGGATGGGCATGCCGACTAGAGCTCCGGGGTGGCTTCTTCGAGACAAAAAGCTCGACCCGATATTATTTCTTTAAAAAAAAAAGGATTAACTTTTAAAGCATAATTTTTAAATGTAGTCGACGCCATGAGTTTTGATCTAGGTGAAATTTAACTGTTTTTAAGTCAAAACAATTTTGAAGGAAATAACCCCTAAAAACATAGATTTTTGTATACAATTTTTATAAAATGAACTATCGAGGGAGGGGATGAAAATTTGACAAAACACTTCATAAGAATCCCAGTTAGTGCCCCCCTCCCCCCCCCACACTTTTTTTTTTACCAATGCTCGCAACTCGCAACCACATTTTTTTTTCAAGCCCCTGGGACTATATTAATATTCTAATGACCTACCCATATGCTACAAACGCACTTGCGATATTTTTAAATAAGGATCTCATTTAGCGCAACTATCGGGAATTTTCCTTCATGTTCCCCTTGAAGAACAGAAAAAACTATCTTCTGAGGGTTGGGGCTGAAAATTTGACAGATTGTGTTGTCTTCGGCAACGAGTCTATGTGGTAAGTTTCAGATCGACAGATTGACGGGTAGTGGATCAATTAGCCGTCCGAAGATTTTGCCAGCCAACCCCCCACGAACAAAAGCGAAGTTAATGCAAATGATCTTTAAAAAGTTAGATTTATCATGCCCATACCATTGGTGAACGTTTTTAGCAATTACTTTTAATCAAAATATTTTTAAAACAATTTCTTGACATTATTAATTTTATTTACATATTATTTTTATTTTTACATTTATTACTTTTATGACATAGTTTGATGGATAACAGTTAATTTTAAAAATTCAATGCATAATGGCCCATATTAATTTATTTACTGCTTTTTTAATTTGTTTAATATCACAACAATAAAATATGCCCTAACTATTTGCAAGGAATTTATTGGTTTATTCAACAACTCTAAGGCGTACAAGGACTTTTTTGGTTGGTGTGTGTGTGTGTGTGCGTGCGTGTGTGTGTGTGTGTGTTTGACTGCACATATTTCAATATTCATTTATTAATAAAGTAGGTAAAAATAAAACGTTTAAATAAAATTATAATACAAGAATACTATTTAATAACAATTAAAAAAGGATTTTTATCATAATATAAAGAAAAGAAAAAAGTTTAAGAGACACCTAAGTTTCCAAGAATGTTTTCGCAAAATTAAAGCTAGGCATGAGTCAAGGTGCATAAGGTGCATTTTGATTTCATAAAAAAAAAAAAAAGCAGCAACAAAAAAACAACAAAAAACAATAAATAAAATTAAAAAAAAAGAAAACTATTTAAAAAAAATTAAAAAAGGATTTTTATCAAAATAAAAAGAAAAGAAAAAAGTTTAAGAGACACCTAAGTTTCCAAGAATGTTTTCGCAAAATTAAAGCTAGGCATGAGTCAAGGTGCATAAGGTGCATTTTGATTTCAAAAAAAAAAAAAAAAGCAGCAACAAAACAACAACAAAAAACACAATAAAAAACTCAACAACAAATTTGTGGGTTCCCACTGATGAAAAAATAGCATTTCCCTATAGTTTCGTTAAAAAAAATTATTGTTGGACTATATTTGTCTTTATATAATCCAGCTGCCAAATTTTGATGGGACCAAAAGCATATCCACAGGGCGCCAAAACCTGGGATACATTCAATTTATGTAGGGCGGGGGCGCCGGATTCAGAGCCGGCACCGAGCGCTTTTGTACTTAATTTTGGCGTTTATTATATAATGCACTGCACCACACACCCCCACCACCAAACCTAAAATGCCCCTCGGAATAAATTCTCTGAAAGAAACACCGAACGCATGTGCCTAACCACACAAGATGCAAGTGATAACATATTTTTTAGCCCCGTGCTTAACGTCGCGGGAGGGAGAAGAAGGATTCGGTACAACTTGAACAAACGCTTGTGGTTCAATTGTACATTACGTTAAAGAAACAATGACTGTAATAGGTTAATTAGGTGACAGCAATTTTTTTTTTTTGGTCAATGGCTTTACATGTACGTATAAAACTGCTAAATTAAAATTGTGTGGTGTTACAATCGAAGCCAATCGATGTTTTAAAACGTACACCATACATTTTAATATAAAGCCCGTAATGAGATTTTTATTAAAATAACTAAAATCCTCTCTTAGCTCATGACCCGTATTAACAGTGGCCGAGGGCCGGATATTTTCCTTATGACTATCATGTAGCCCATGGCCTAATTTGCAGACCTCTGCTAGCGAATTGATGAAGTCGCTGCTTTAGAAGTTAAAAAATTAAGTTGTAAAAATTATTTTCTTTTTATTTTCAGTTACAAATTATAATTTATAATTTATAAGAAAATATAAGTTACATTGAAGAGTCTTGATAATGTAACTTTGAACTTTTTTAGGTACGGTTATGAAGGCATTTATTTGCATAATATTAATTAATAATAGGCCTTATTATTATGCTAATTAATATATATTTTAAAAAAAAATTCTTTCTACTTGTTCACTTGCGTTTGTACACATGTTTTACAATATTAAAGCATTTGTTCTCATAGCCTATAAAATATTTTAAATTTATGAACGCATCAATAGGCACACAACAGTGTTTCTCAAATTTTTTGCCGGCTTTCCTCCTAAGTAGCCTACCATTTAAACTGCCATCGGGAAGACTATTTTAACGACCTCTTTAAGTCTCGAGATTCAACGTTGACGGAAAATTGTACAATTAGTTAAATAGCATATATTTCTATTGCAATAAATGACAAACAATGACAGTGGATAACGTTTTTTTTTTTTTATTTTTTTTTTTTAAAATTTTTTCTAATACATCCCTCCCCCAATATTTTTTAATTTTAAAATTAAAAAATTTAAAAAATTTTTTTTTTTTGTTTTTTTTTTTTAAAATCTTGTCTAATACATCCCTCCCCCAATATTTTTTAAATTTAAAATTAAAGAATTTAAAAAGGGAAATAAGAGCTCCCATTTCAGAGACTAAAAGTTCCGTAGAAGTGAAGCAGTGTGCTTCAAAAGTTTTCAATCGATAATTTCTAATGGTCAAAATATTTGAAATTGCAAGGGTAATTAAATTGTCAATATCACTGATCACTTGCACTGGATAAATATTAATAGGCCAAGGCCTAGGCCATTATTATATATCCTATCAATTTTTAGGATACTTATATATTTTTAACAGTAATCAAATACATTTTAACTAGGCCTATATAATATTTGAGAAAACTTTAGTGATGAAAGTAACTGTTTCTTTACAGCACACTTAATTTTGAAATATTTTAATTTATAGGAATATACATTGGCTATAGGTCATAGTACTCATAGTGTTACTTTCTGAGCGCTATGTAGTTTATTTTCATTGGTTCCAGTAATAGTCCTTTACCCATAAGCCAGCTCGAACTCATAAGATGCGCATGCGCGTTGATTTAGATGGGATCATGACGAGCGTGTGTTGACCTACCAAGTACCGTCAATAGATGCTACAAAGAAATGTTTTCAGCTGTTCGGTGAATGAAAATTAATTAGTGATGTATTTTTTAAACGGATATTTTTGAAAATCACCAAAATGTTTCAAGAAGATGAAAAGGAATGGATTCTTGAGGCCATCAATCATTTGAAACATAGAAAAGCTCGTCCCGATTTGTCGCGTATTAGTCTGCGGATGAAAAGAAAATATTTTATGAGTTTTGCGCAAACTAAAAAACTTCTTGAATCACTTATTGAAAGTGGCATTGTTGTCAAGGCTGTTTACAAAAATAACACAAGTTATAGAGATGTGTCAAAGTGGAAGAAAGGGCGATTAGGTGGCCAAATTTTAAACTCAAACAAAATGCTAAAGCGATTCATTCGAGCTATAGAGGCAATAGAAAAAACGAAAGGCACGGGTGTTTTAGCCAAAGACATTGAAGAGTATTTAGGGAGTCAGGGAGAAGAAAAGTGTTTTTTGTCAGGACCAGCACTAAGGGATGCTTTAGAAAACGAAATTTGTAATGGTTATTTGAAAAGAACTTTTAATGGAACTAGAGTGCATTATACCATAAACAGTGATAACATAGAGAATGTGCATCATTTCTTGCAAGAAGATGAGAATAGCCAACTACAGGATTTCATAATTGACAGTAACTCAACTTCAACACCACAAATGGGTCTGCTTCTGACAAGTGTACTAGCAGCCATCAATGAAACTGAGCGTTCTGAAGACATGGGATCAACTCTTTTAGATATTAAAGAAATCTTAATTCTTAAAGGCATTCGTTTTTCTGATGATATATTTTTGTCAGAATTTTTAGAAAATAGTACCAAAAAAGGCGTTTTAACAAAAAGTTTTCATGACTCAGTAACCTACTATGCGGAAAATAAAAAATTCACAAAGCAGTTGGAAATAGGAAAAGGTGTAATAGATAGTTCACCAGAGGGTAGCTCCGGCAGACATTTTAATTTAGAAAAAATAAAAGACAGTGGTGATGAGACCTCACGATCAGATTCAATTGTATCAAAATGTCAGCAGGAATATGTATCGAAACATGCACAGCAAGCTGTTCCCCTGCGTCCTCCATCAAAACGGAAAGTAAGTATATGCGCACATCCCTAGTCTGTTTTACAATGCCTCACTTTCAGGAGCAAGAAATTTAATACAGTTGTCACATCAGCCTTGTCATAGTCTATAGATATAAGGATTAGAGTTTGTGGCGGGTGGGCAAATTGTTGAGAAGTTTTGTTTTAAAAAATGGGCCTAATCCTAACAAAGATAATGTGCCTTACTTCAACACTTTGATACGGGAGAACAATTTATTAATGATCATTATATTAAGTTTAGGTCTACTACTCAGTCTCAGTACTTATTTTTAGGTGCAATTTAACTCTTTTTTTTTTGCACATTCCATAATGCATAGTCATACTGTTAGCATTCCTATATATATATTTTTTAACTTTGATGTTAAAATTCCACATAGCAAATCTTATTAATTAAATAAAATAATAAAAGCCTCTGTCTTAAGCCTAATTAATAATGAAGCATGATTATGCTCTATTTATTTAATATAAATATAACTAAAATTAAAAAGTAGTGAGTTTTGCTGTTGAACCATTAGTCACTAGCCCAATATTTTTATGATACAAAATGACAGACCTTTAACTTTATTATTAGCATGTTACATTTCTATTTTATAGAGAATCGTGAAAGACCATGGCCCTGATTTTGAAATAGAAATGCCAACAAAAGTAAAAACCAAGTTTTCAGGTAAGAATACTGTCATTGTAGAATTTAGCTGTGAAAAGTTACTTGAAGTCTTTTATATATTATTAAAGCATTATATTTTCATATCTATAAAAAACAACCAAAAAACAAAACAAAAAACAAGGTTAATCACGTTAGCTAATAACATAAGGTAAACCATCATAATAGCTATTATCTCTGTGTGAGTGTAGTTTGACCTTTAGTTTAAAAATTAAAGTTGGTTGGATTGGTGAAACGATTTTGAAATTAACCCTATTAAAGGTAGTGTATAAGAGTTAGATTAAATAATGGCCCATCATAGTCAGGCATAGTTTCTCCTCTTTCTTAAATGATCTTTCCTGAATTTTCTTTTGTGCTTATAGATCAATTCAATGTTTCAGAAAACAAAGATTCTGTTTATCCAACACCATCAGACTCACCTGCTTCAGAAAAATCTGATTTGAACATGTATCAGAGGTAATAAAATGTTCATCTTTAACAGTCAATTTTCATCTTATAAATCAAATCAAGATGTTCACAATTTTTTTTAAATAATGAAAATGGCATTTAACATTGATATGATGGAAATTCAGAGTGAATTGCTCAGTGCAAATTTGGTAAATATACTTAAAAGAATAGTGTTATGAAGAATACACATTACTTACAAATTTTAATTTTGAATTGGTTAAGAAATGAAACCATGCAATTTTAACCCATACAGTAACGGGCGCGTCTTTTTGCAGTGACCTACTTTTTTCCTTCTGACCCACACACATCTATTTGTCACATAGAGAGGGGTATATTATTTAAACACAAAAATGAGGTTATAACCTTTCACAACAGTCTCGGGCAGAATGGTTATTCATATGGGGAATAGTCGAATTTTATTTTGTCTTTTAAATTATGAAAATCGACCATTTACTGAATTTTTTATGCAGATCTGTATTTGTTGTTTCCCATGTCGCTACCTAGCGCTATTGTTGATGACCACTTACGCCCACTTGATGAAACCTTTTGTTCTGAAACTATTATTGAGCTTTAATTGGGATTAGATGATTCTGATGCTGATGAAGATAGGGATGAAATTTTTGAAGGAAGTTGGCCTACTATACCTCAAAATTTACTCCTACAGGAGCTTGTAGGTTTGACAGGTTTTAGACCTAGTGCCAACTTTGATTGATATTGATTTAGATGAATATTGACTGGCCACTATGCTGGCCACACAATTCCCAAGTGTGCCATTGCTAATGAAAAGTGTGAACAAAATACAAACACCCTTATGCAATCTGAAGAGATAATGCTTTACATGTTATTAATTGTTTAAAACAAAAAAGTTACAAAATAATTTGCAGACCTAACAAATTTTGGCTCATTCCAAAATAATGTCTGGGTCACAGGGAATAATTAGCAAAGTAATAGCCGGTACTGAGGCTATACATAGCAAAAATAAAGTAGGCTTGTACCAGAAGGGTTAAAACTACCAAGAATTGTTTACTTATTGTTAAAGGTAGAGGTTTTTTCACTTACGCAACAGCTCTTGTCAAAAATCAACTCAACCCTTGTCCCTCCACTGCATTAATATATCCTTTCTGGAAGATATGTGTTTTCTTTCAAATAATCAAAACTAATAAATAACTCAGGTTTCACACTATCATCTCTTTTTGTTAACAAATCTTTCTGTTGTAAATTACTTATTACAGCTTTAATTTTGATAAGAAAAAAAGAGGAAGGCCAAAAAAGAATCAGTCACAAACATCAAGTATACACAATGATCATATGGAGGAGGACTCTAAACAAGGGGCCCCTTCTGAAGTGTCCACAGTAGAAGAAGATGATACCAGTATCACCTACCCTGATATTGCTGCATGGAGTTCAGAGCAAGTGGCTTCTTATTTCTCAAACAAAGGATACTTTGAAGAGGCACAAAGCATGCTAGAAAATGTGAGTTTATTCTTTCATCCTAATATTTCAATTGAAATTATTTTAACCCTTTACAGGGCAGAGGTACCTCCTCTTACATCTCCTGAACAGGCACCACTTCTCCGGTTTTTAGTAAGATTTAGGGTTACTTTAGTAAAAAAAATCAAATCTAAGGTGTAAGTCAACAAATTTTTGTGAAATATAAAGGAAAATGAATGCAGATTTATAATTTTACTCACATGTTGCCATTAATCCTCATATGAACACAGATATTTGTAAAAATAACATATTGTTTTTGATTGTGAGTAATCTATTTACCATTTACAAACACTGCCGCAAAATCGAAGTTTGTAAAATTCAACACTGCTTACTATGCTGATTTCACTAATATTACTAATAATATTAATATCTAGTTCCAATTTACAGTCAATTCGTGCACTTTAATGTCACTTAAATTGAATCCAGCGAAATCTCCGCTATCACTTGAATAGTCAACAAATAATCGGCAAAATCCACTTCGAAAAAAAATAATTTTTAAACCCCTAAGACTAAAAAAAAATCGATTAAATACTTGTAACTGGCCCCCACTCTATCCAGCTATCGGAAAAACCGGATGTAAACAATAAGAAGTCTCGCAAAGACTTGGAGGTCACAAGTTTATAACTATGTCGTCACGGACCGGACGCTTTTGGACGTTTTGACCGTTCAGTACTAAAGATGTTTTCAGCCGCTCTGCCTGGTAAAGGGCTAACTCTTTAACAATTTAAACTTCCTTCACCGTGAGATAAATTATTTCTTACCCTAAAAATTGAGCAAATATTTTATCAGGGATAAGGGTTTGCACACAATTTTCCTCTCAAGATACATCTTATTAAAAACTGAGTAAAATTCAAATACATTTTGAAGTTGAGCTTGTTGTAAAATTTATTGACTGGTAACATAAACTTAAAAAGAAATCCTGTATATTAATATTAACTTCGCTTTTGTTTGTGTGTTCTGTGTTCAGGGCAGATTTTTTGGACAGCTAATTGACCCACTTCCCATGTACTTCCCATCATCCTATCGAGCTGAAACTTGGGGTCATAGACTCCTGATGACAACACATTATGTCAAATTTTCAGCCCCATCCCAATACCAAAAAAAACAGTTTATCCTGTTTTTTGCTAGGGGAAGCTTAATGACCCATATCCTGTCATCCTATTGAGCTGAAACTTGGTGGCACATGAACTTGTTGCAGATAAAAACACATTCTATCAAATTTTCAACCCCAAAGATCAGTTTTTCAAGGGGAAGATAAAGGAAATATGATGCAGTTATTACCTAAGAACTGTGGCCATCGCTATGTCGCACAAAAATGTATACAAAGAATATGTGCAAAAAAAAAATGTTTTTAAGGGTTGTTTAATTTTGTTGTGCTGTTACTTTTTAGTCAATTCAATTTTTTTTTATCCACAGGATCTTGATGGCACAGCCTTAGGACTGCTAAAAAGATCAGATATTGTTGGACCTCCTTTAGGAGGTATACTTAAAGTAAAAAAACTTGGAGTAGCTCTCAAGCTGTTTAGGGACATCAGAGATCTCTTATATCAAGGCAATTCTGATAACTACCTTGATCCCTATGAAGAAAAACCATTTTTGAGGTCTTGATGATGGCTTAAATTAGGTTTTAGGACTAGGTGTATATACCATATTTCTCAGGAATAAGATTTTTAAATTATTAACTTGCTCATTGACAAACCTGTTTTAAATAATGTACAGGTTATGGTAAAACTATGAATAAACATGTGAATATACAAGGACAGCTTGTGTTCCCATTTATGTACATTTACGTACATTTTATCCCCATGCAAACGAATTCATGTTCCATGAATTTATATTAAATTCTAAAGCACTGCATTTTAGTTAAATGCAATTTAAAAGGGGGAAAATGAAATCAAATAATGGACAGCTTGTGGTGATGTAATTTGAGCTTTAAGTAGCTGCCATGTGACATTGGTTTTGTTGATAAGATGTGCATTTTCAAAAAAGAAAAATTTGACACACTCTTTGGTTATTTTTTCTTTACCTGTATTTTATGAGAAATACCTGAAGTCAATTGGTTGTTTAATGCGTTGTCATATTTGTCGTCTAATTTTAAAAAAGCTGCATGTGATTGCTAACCAAAATTAAATGTATGTTTTGCTCTTTTTTTTTAAAATTTAATTATTTGCCACAATAAATGAACATGTGTATGAATACCATATGAAAGAACGGTAGTATGCTATAGTTTATGATCTTGCTGGCAGAACTAAAGAGATGTATTGTACCAAACATAAATATTTGGGAAACAATTGTAAATATTTTATATCATTAAGCCAAAGACATTTGGGCTTGAAAGCTTTGTAGTTGGCAAACAGCTGGCACACACCTTGTGAATACCTTTAGATGACTCCATCGTATTGTATTTCTCTCCTATTTGTTTTTTTACAGTTCTATCATTTCCCTTTTTATCCCAAATGTATTTTATTTCACTTATTCCTTAAACCACTTAAATGGGTATTGACCAACTTAAAAGGCAAATGCTATCTGCTGAGACAAATGTTGGTCAGCAATGAAGGTGTTTTAAGCAAGCCTTTATTACAACGGGTCACGCTATGCAGCCTCTGTCTTGGGAGCTACTTTCTTGCCATTCATAAAGCCTTTACTTTACATCTTATGGAGGCTCACCAGTGATATTTGCAAGAATCTATTTGGAGGCTGGTCTTTGTCAAAGGTTCACATTTATAACCAAGAGGAAACATGATTAATGTATTTTGTTCCACGGCTGTCAGATTTGTTTTGTCAGATTCCATGGGAGACCATATTTGCTCAATACATTTCTATTTACTTAGTGAAAACTCATTCCCTGTATTTTATTTATCTGGTTAGATTAACAGTGCCGCTCAGTACTTACTTATCTTGTTCTTTATGACACAGGGATATCATTTACAGTCTTTGTTTTACTTTGAAAGAACTCCCCACTACTAATATTAGCGTTACAAGTAAAGTTACCATACATTTAGAAAAAGAAAGGAGTTAATTGGTCCATGTAAATCTTGTTACTTGTCAAATTACAGAAGCCTTACATTGAACTGTACATCAAAACCAATATATATATGTAGGGGAGAGACTGCTATCAGGTTAGCAAAATGAGTAATGGGTAAAAACCTGAAAAAGGACATCAAGAAAACAATGAATGTGTCGGCAGGAAGCCTTCATCAGTGAACAAACAACTGAAAAAACAAGATATAAAAGAAAGCACTGGATACTACTACTCAGCTAAGTAAAATATAAAATAAAAAGCTGTGACTTTGCAATGTAAGAACTTCAATGAAATATTAATATATTTTAGAATGTTGTTTTAAAAGAAGAATTAAAAATTCTCTGTATTTGTGCTAATTTTTTTTTTCATAACAGTTGAATAGAAAAAAATCTTTAAAATGTGTGCATTGAATTTTTAGTGTGTCACTAAAGATTTGGTTTTAGATCATTTGGCTAAACGAAATCATTTTAAAATGAACATATTAAAAAATTTATATATGCAATGCCTTAATAAAAATGTATTAGCCTTGTAAGTAACTATCAGGGCACATGTATCAACAACAGAATATTACTTTTGATGTTTGGTTGCTATCTATTGAAAAGGCGCCAGAGGGCATAAAATGCTTCATTATTTGGAGAAAACTACTAACATATATACTTGTCTATAAGTCGAGGGTAGTTTTTTTTTTTACTAACAATTGGGAAATATGCTATGACTTATGGAATAGGGTAAAATTTGGGGTTATGAATTTCTGTTATTTTTATCATTTGATAAGGTTTTGCCTAGCACCAATCAGTGGACTGTGCACTAAACTGTGTTCAATGTATTTTTGACCCAGATTTATCACAGATTCTTGTATCTAAATCCCCATGTATCTGTACCCAGTATCTGAGTAAACGCACAGGTACCGCCAAATACACTAGCATTACTGGTAACTCGACATTGTCCCACATTCACTGTATATATTAATTCCTATATTGTGTTAGCTTCTATTTCAAGGTTTATAATGTACATAATTTAGTTTTAATTTATAATATGTTTGTACACAAACTTTTAGTGATGTGAATTTAAAAAAATATTTGATAAAGCCCTTGGGAGGGCAAACTTTAAAAAAAGAAATTATGCAGATGGCCACATGGATATTTTTTGGCTCTCCCTATGATAGTTTTTTTTTACCCTTACTATTAATACTATTAACCTTATTAAATGTTTCAGTGGGCCACATGTAGGTGGCCCACTCCTGCTTTAGCTTATGTAAATAATACATTCAAAATCACTATGGAAAATAATAAACAACAATATCTGGAACTTTACAGTTTCCCTAGTCCTCTCATAACAAATGAGGTGTATTAAAAAAAAACATGTAAATGTAAAGAAAATAAATAAGAAGTAAATATTTCAATGATTTTTTTTGGTCTATAATACTTTACCTTTAATTAATTCTAAACTGTACTTGCATCTAAGATCCTTTCTTAGGCAATCTGTACTGCATTTAACTTTAATGGTGACTGTCCCAGACACCATTGATCTTTAATTTTGTTGTCCTGTTAATTATAACAATCATGAGTTGTAATTTTATAAGGAAACTGTATATGTAATGAGATGGGACAGTCTCTTTAACTCATGTGAATGAAACCGAGAGAGGGAAGAGCAGAATTGTGTGCACATGCTCATAAGACTTAATGCTGCAGTGTTAATGGCCACATCATCATATTGTTTTTTTTGCACAGGGGTTGTGCATCTTCCATTGGCCTCACAGGTTTGATTATTTTGTTGTATGAATTATAATTCTGAGACCATTGAAATTGTCTTTCTGCTTCCAAACTTTTTTTGTGTTGTTTTAGGAACAATTTATTTTTTAAAAAACAAGTGATTGCATTTAAATGTGTGTTTACCAGTGAACAAACTTTTGTTAAAATGTATTTTGTTAAAAATAACTGAAATTGGTTACCGGTATACTTATTTATTATCATTGACGTATTTGAAATCTTCCTGCAGAACATTTTTTCTGTGTTTAAATGTGGTAAGATTGAGTCAGTTTTTGTTTTCTTGAACTGCTCCATTTGTTTTCAAACGGACTGATGTCATTCTTAAAACTGTAGTTTGCCTAATGCTAGGCACACAACTTCACATGTCTGGCCTATGTGATGTGCATAAAGATGGTAATCGTGCATTATCTATTTTGTGTTGGGGGTATCATTTATTAATCCATTGCTAGTTTATAGCAGGTGCTTTGTGTGAAGTAGTTTGTTTTGGAATATTAAGTGACACAGAACATTTCTTTTACACACACTTATCTTTGTAGTAGTAATTGTATCTACAAAGTGTACAGGGCATTCATGACAGCATGAAGCTCAGGACAATTATTGACATTGTTAATCATTTAAAACATTTGACAAGCTCGTTATTATTATTCAATGTTCATGAAATAGTTTCTTTTAAATAGTATTGTGTTAATGGGTCTCTAAATGGTTGTCCAGCATACAAGAGTGACATTGGTGAAGCTTTGCAGAGACAGCCATCTTTTACCCCCTCCAATTTCTATGTGTTATGCAATTTTAAACAAAATTAAAATGGTAGTTAGTTATACCAAACTGATATATTATGCAAATATTTAAACAAAATACAAATCTGATGCTTTGAATTAGTTTTTTATAGCATGGTTGTGTTGTAATACCAGGTATATTTTGCTACAATTTATCAAGGGTTCACCTTATCATGTTAGTTCTGCCATCTCTGTCAAGAGGTATCAAAATTCGTCAGATTTCAATTTATTGAAATGAAAGCCTAAATCCATCTCCTCAACTTTTATTTAACAACTATATTAGCAGGGTAGCAGTAATAGAAATGGATGAGGCTGTAACCTCTTGTATAAAGAAGTCAACAAGTGCAATTATTTGAATTTAATAAGATTAGCACTTTAATATAATTATGTACTTTTTTTGTGGAAATGTTTTGAGGCAAAATCAAATTTGGAAATCAAGATAGGCACTCCTCTTAGTTCTATGTGAAGATAACCAATGAAGTGAATGACTTTTGTTATGGATATTAAATATGTTGCAGAAAAGTAAAGCAGTTTTCAAACTAGCTCCAAGGGGCATAAACCATATGCTTGTGTTATTTTATGAAATAAAAGTGCTAAGCGTTAAATTTAAAAGTTACAAAGTTTGAAAACCACTGACAGCGGCACTGTTGTAAAAATATTTTAGAATGTGAGCATGTTTTTTTGTTAAGAATTAATCAATGCATTTACCCAATAATTTAGGATTTTAATAAAGAACACAAATGATTTTTTTCATCTTGTTTAATCTTTTAACACAAACAGCATTGCATAGTGAACATAAATACATATCTGGCATGATCAAAATATATAACATATAATACATGAACATTATCAAAACTTTCCTTAGAAAAATATAACAAACCTTTGTAACAACTAAAAGGCATTTTATGTTGGGTTTGTCAATTAAAGCCAATTCACAAAGCCTTTAATGGCTCCACACCAAGTTCCTTTGCTAGGTCATTCTGTAAAAGTAAAAAAAAAATATATTAAAATTACCTAATACTATCATTGGTTAATAATGAACACCAAATATACTTCATGAAAATGAGTCATGGCATTCTAGAATGGATTATAAAAAAACAAACTTTGCAAATTCGATTCAAATAAGAAAACAAGAAAGCAAACAGTTCTGGTTAAAAATAATATGTACAGAAAACCTAAATTGATCTTTGGTTTACCAACCAGTATTTATAAAACTTTTAAAATAAAATCATAATTTATAAATAAAGTAAATAATATTTAATTTTGGATTTTATGCCTGCATGTCATTTTTGTTGATTAATTAGTAGACTATACTTTCAAATGGGTAAAATGATTGGTGTTTCTTTACCAATAGCAATGATAATACTTACTGCATATTTGATCTGGTTGGGATGATAGAGAATGCCCCCAAGTTTATCACATTCTGCCATGTGCTTCCTTTCTGGATCACCAGGCACCAAAACATCTGTCTCACCCTCGGCCTGAAATAGAGGGACACACATTACAATAGACACACAATACAATAAATTGCATGCTAAGAGATCTTGATAGCAGTAAAGAGTGATCAATTGTCGCGTTTCTCAGTTGGGCAAAAATGTATTTTTTGCATGGATTCATATTCCATCTCATTTACGTAGACTTCTAACCTGTGTATTTCTTTAACTAGCTTATTCACTCCTTTTTTTACAAAATAAGCTAATAAATTAGGTTCAAGCTGGCTAAATTTCGAATCATTGTTTGACTGTTGCATAATTATTTCTCGGCATTATAATATGGGGGAAATTGTCTGCCTCTCAACTGATACTAGGCACACAACTACACATGTATGATCAATGTGATGTGCGTAAAGATGATAATTGTGCATTATCTATTTTAATTGTGTTGGGGGATCATTTATTACTAGTGGCAGAAGATAACAGGTAGCTTGAACTGATGAGCCCATCATAGTTTTTAAATTCTAAAGAATTGCTTTACCGGATCCAGATTTCTGAGTGTTGTATTGAGCTGTGAAATTCTATCCGTAAATCCTGGAGCAAATGCACTTGGGTCAATCGCTACAAAGCACTGGCCCTGTATAAAATATGATCATTAGCATAAATTAATACTTTTTGAAACATTAGTGGAATTTTAAAAATTATATCTATCAATCACACTAGAAACAACATTAAAATGAAATACATTTTACATTATGCTTGGGTGTAAATCTTAAATTTTTATAGCCAAATGAAGTTAGTGATGCAGTAAATATACCAAGTTAATCTATGATGATTATAAGACATTAGTGCAGCACTAACCAGATTTGCTTCTCTATCTGTTGTCTTCCATTTCCTAATATTGTTAGCGAATGCACCACCAGCCAGGATCCCACAGAAAACTTCAACCATCATAGACAAGCCATAACCCTTGTAACCACCTGCAATAAATGTGTTACTTGCATCAATTTAAACATAAGGATGTTGAGTTTGCATCTTTTCTAAAAAAACTCCAATTAGGCAATTTATACTATATGAATGACAATAGATTAGATTCTGGTGGCAGATTTATTTTTGAAGTACAACTGTTTAATCAGTAAATGAGGGTTTATGGCTTATACATTATGAACAGGTTTTTTAAATTTATTATTCACATTTTTTGTTTGGGGTGGGGGGCCTTAAAGATAAATGATAACATACTACATTCTTCAGTTCCACCAAGAGGCATCAGACCAGTTGCCTTTGATGGGTTTGTCGTTGCCTAAAAGAGAGATTCTCATGTGAGAAACAGCCATTTGGGGTGGAGCAAAAAACTAACAATGACAATAATAATTTTTTTTTTCAAATGTAGAAATGGAAATAAACATCAAAAATCTAGAAATGAATAATTTGTGAATCCATTTGATTTATTAATATTGAATTTTATATATAAGAAAGTAATGAAAGGAAAGCAAATTAAAATTCTTAACTTAAATTAGTTAAATCTAATCAAAAAATGAATATTTTGCCAACTATTTATAAATTATAATTCATTGATGAGGGTGTAGACTTGCCTTTCCTGAACTATCACAGCCCCAACCAAGTGGAATATCTAGTCCTTTCCTTTCATTCAGTTCAAGCTGTTGAAAAAAACAAGATATTGGTGTTATTATTTACTTAGCATTTGAGGGAAAACTTTTTTTTACTAAGCAGATATTCAACAAAAATATGTTTAAATAAAAATCACAACATAACTTTTCCAAATTGTAAAAATTGAAATTCTGCAATGTAAAATAGAAGCTTCAAACTTAAATATAATGTAGGTCCTCTGGGACTAGATGGGCCCAAGAGGAGTAAAAGCCTTTTACAATCTGTCTGGATCTGTCCTGAGCCTCTTTTAAAAAGTTAGAGAAATTTATGTAAAAAGGGTAGGTTGTGAAATGTTCTAAACTAAGGCTCTGGGTAAAAAATACAGATTCTACTTAATTGAAAATTCAATTTAATGCTTTGCCTCACAATAAAAAAGAATTCAAATTGATATTACTTTTCCAAGAGCAACAGCAGTTGTCGCCATATCTAATACAAAGCTGTCTCCATTATTGGCTGGTGCAGCACAAGCTATGGGGTTGGTACCTAAAATTGGCTTTAGATTTTAAAAAAATATTTTAAGAAATAATAAGATTCTAACTAAGAAATTTTCACTAAAAATAAAAATTTTGAAGTTACAGATAAACTGAAGATAATTTATTTCACCGCAAAAAAGAAATTATGTTGAATAATCATGTAAAATAATAAAATAAGGGCTAAGGAATAAATGAAAAAAACTATTTGCACTATTGAAAATTGGTATTTGGATACGACACTTCATAATGAATATTCAGCTTTTAGATTCTGAATTATCAATATATAATTTTGTTTACTTCTTTGGCTCTGGTAGGCACCATCAAAGGGGATGTGTTTGTGAAAGCCATGCCCTGTTAATAAAAAAAGTATTTGTAAAATTGCAACCCTAACCAACTTACATAGCCACATGGTACTTTGAGGCACCGGTATAAAGATGGAATAGTGAGAAGAGATTACTGGTAAATAAGTAGATTCTATGAATAGTGTTTTCTTTTCTTAAATATATTTTAATTTAGTGCTAAATTAAATTGGAAATAAAGATGTTTTGAATATACTACTGCCTATAAATACAATACATCACGGATACAGTAAATCTTAATAACTATTTACTCACAATGAGACCCTGTTCCATAGCCCTCATAGCATACCAGCCAGCTATACCAAAATGGTTGGATCCTGTAATTTGTAACAAAACAATCAGAATTAACAAGTCTTTATACCTTGATTATCTGCAGCAATTAAAAAAAAAGTTTTCACAATGCTTAACTTGATCTTTTAAAATAAATTATAGGTTGGACACTAACATAAAAACTATTTAGCATACCAGCATTAGTAAGTTCTAAATAAACTTTAAATTCCATTAGCCTCTACTACTTAGTAGAGTGCAAGAAGCATATGAACTACTATAAATTTATTTTCATAATTTATTAGAACAAGACATTATGCAATTTGTGAAACCACAGGACGATTACAAGGAATTGTTAAGCTGGAGTTTAGAAATGTTTGAGATTGGGGTCACCACTACTGGTTTTGATGACTGGGTATCATATCTGCAACCACCATCAGAATGAGAATTATCATCTTAATGATGTTTATAACATATGCTATAATTTTTCCTTGTATTAGCGACAAAAAGGATGTGATGCATGTTTTATATATGGTGATTTATACATGTGATAACGGATGTCACATCATATAAATACAGAATTTAATATGTTTACCTTCCTATGAACCTCATTGTAGTACATTATGTTACAATGTTGTTAGCATCTCAAACATTGTTTACCTTTAGCAGACACCCAGCCTATTCCAGCCTCTTTAGCTTTCTTAATTGCTACATCAATGCAGAATTTCCCAACAACAGGTCCTGCAAAATAGAACTATAGTTAAATTCCAGTATTTTATACTGATTCGCCCCGGGGGCACTTTTTCTATATATATTAAGTGGCACAATTTTCCGGCTTCGCCCCAGGTGCAGCATTTCCTTCGCAGCAAACAAACAACAGTTAAACAGAATAAAATAAAAAAGCACTTAACTGAAAAGTATTATCCGAGGGGGCAGCAAAAGAATGGTGGAAAATCTAAATTTGGCCTAAGCGCCGGGAATCGAAACATTATAGGAACCACTGAACTAGCACATTGAAGATACGCTGGACAAAATATTACTGTAATACTGCTACTACTGAGTACTGTTGAAGCAATATCTAGCTAGTTAATTTGTGAAAAGAAATGGCAACATTATGATGATAATTCATACACAAAATTGCTTGATATTTTTACAGCATTCGAGATATAAATATTCTAATTTTGGACTGTCAGATGGAGCTGCATCTATTCACTATGCTGGCCTTTGGGCAGAAATAAGATAAGACAAATAGAAATAAGACAAGCAAGCCATTGCTGCCAAAAGTACCGACAAGCCGGACGATGAGAGAAATTAGTACCTACGGACCAGGGGGTCGAAAGTACAAACTGTCCATACTAAATATGGACGTCTGGTAATCCTATATAGTCTTAACTGACAGACTTGATACAAACCTAGGAGGTTGTTTCCATCAACATAAGCTGTAGCAACAGTTTCCTTGACTATTTCTGGTTCTTTATCACTGACACACATTTTGGTCTGTATATCTTTAACATACATATCTGAGAGGAACAAAAAATGAAAGTGCAGGACTCAAAATTCCATTCAAAGAGAGTTGCCATTGGGGATGGCAGTTATATTAGAGATCAAATTCTGCATTGTGACAAGTACAAATTTAAATTTTATGAACAAAGAGAACATAACAGTGTAATGCATTTTATGAAATTTTAAATTATTTTCTTCTTTTAGTGCATTTTAACTCGTCTTTGATTATAAGACTTCATTAAAATAATTTTTTATTTTCTACTTTTTAGTATTAAAATTTAATATGTATTGTAAAAATTATTTTTAAAAAGTAGAATTATTTAGTTTTTTAAACATCAAATATTTACAGAATCTTGTTTGAAGTGACTGAACTCTTTACCTAGTCATAAAAGTAAATAAAATAGATCTGAGCTTCTCGACACACCTGTTCACTCAACCACTAAGCTTATATGGTGGTCAACCATGAGAAATTTACTCTAATTGAGCAACAGTGTCAACACGCCTCCATCCATCTACCAAGGAGTAGATGCACAATGCAATGTTGACATGAGTTGCAATTTGCAAGGAAACCATCAACACTAAGTCATGAGTAAATGATCAACTGAGCAAAAATTTGAAGTGACAAACGATTTTGTCTGGGTGTTGATATAACGATACAAACTTATTATTCATAAAATAATAAAATTGTAAACTGAACACTATTGCAGTATTGCACAGCTGGCTGACAAAAAGTCTGCCAAGATGGAAATACAAGTAGAATGAAAGTCTTTGTAAAAAACAACAACAAAAGAAACCATCTTATATAATATGAAGTAAAAGGATAATTTTCAAAAGAGACATTCCAACATTTTTTTCAGAATTCACAGTCTTGAGTGCAAATGCAAAGTAAAGCCAGTAAAGCAAGTTTAAAAAATCAGTAGTCAGTAGTGTTAACAATTTCTGAATTTCTGTCACTTGAACGTTAAGCCACTTACCCAGTCTGTTAAGGCCATGACTGTAATGACCCCTATAATCAGCTGCAACTAGTAAGTCACTGAGTGCACGTGCATGTTCAGGCCGAGTACCAACTTTCTCCATACACCGTGTCATGAAGGCATGCATCTCTTCCTTCGCCACTGCAGATTCCTCTGATGCCATCTTATTGGTGTTGCTCAGCAACCGTATACACGCTCTTGTGTAGCTGATTTGTTTGACTGGAATATGAGACAAAACATAAAAATGAAAAGCTTATTTTGAGCTCTCTCTGTGCCACTTAATCAAATGTGTAGCGTCACCCGTTATAGATATACTTATATTATATATATATATTAAATAAACCTCGCCCAGTCGATGCAACATCTTATCTTATCTACGTCAGGTCTACGATTTGGTTTGTACACAAAACAAGGTAACTTACACAGTCTCAGACATGGTGAAAACATTTTCGGTGAATTCAGATTTTCAAGTCTATTCTACCATTAAAATTTGACCTCACTTTGCAACATTCACCATTCTTCTGGGCCTTAATCTTTGCACAAGCAACACAATAACACGTACAGAACGTGTGCTGAACCATAAAAATAGATTAGCCTGTTGCCTGTTAACTAGGTCAAAACTAGGTCATTCATGGAACTCTGCTTAATATAAAAGTAGGGTTGTCTGTCCAGTGCGCTGAATGCCAACAAGGAAATAATTAGCCTAGATCAGCATGCATCTGTAAGCAGTAATTTTATTTTTGTGCACTAAATGATTTCGCATTTTGAAATTGATCTACAAATTCAAATATTTTTGATCAGTTAATAACGAATACATGTTCATGACTGATGCATGTACGTTTAAAAATGAAAGCTACATAGAATTAGAACACTGTAACTGCATTCTTTGATTACAATTACACTTACAGAAAACACCTGAATCCTTGTAGCACTTCTCAGCAGTGGAACAGCTAGGTTTAGTGCCACCCAGGGAGGGCTAAGATTTATACGCCCCTTCCACGCACCCCCTCCCCTTCTGAAGTTGGCCGAAAAATGCCGCCCCACCAAATAGAGAAAAAAGTGCCGCCCGTGGCGTATTGGTCCCTCCGTACTCCCTGCTAAGCCGCTGTATCTCAGTCTCTCTAAAAAGGCGTATCGTGTCAAACTTTACTCACCTCTGGTTTCTCAGCTAGACTAATGCTGCAGCTGTTTGATCAAACGTGTGACGTGTTAGTCTCAGCGACCTGAACAAGGACCAGTCAGCTCAGAATTTTCGACGTGTAATGCTCAACCAGCACAGCTCGCAACTGATAAACCATAAGCGAGTGTTGGGGGTGGGGGGGGGGGAATCAAAGATAACGGATCAGAGACTCTCTGCCAGGGAACAATCGTCAACAGCTCGCAACTGATAAACCATAAGCGAGTGTTGGGGGTGGGGGGGGGGAATCACAGATAACGGATCAGAGACTCTCTGCCAGTGAACAATCGTCAACATCACAGTCTTCTCCACCCCCACCCCATTAATAAGCTACCGCAATGGTTTGTTTAAAAAAATTGCCACAGAGAAGTGTTCCTCGATGATCTACTCGGGCCCGGATCTGCAGAGCTATTGTTTTATCTCAAGGTCACTCTTGCCTTCTGGTTCAAAACGATTTAGTTGTAAATTGTGGTGCATGGTTTGGAAACCTCCGACACGACTGGCGGATGTGATACACATTACAGTGTTCTGGAGGCGTAGCCAGAGTGTCAGGCACCCGGGGACAAGATTTATTATTACGCCCCTCTCAACCCTCAGACCCAATATTTTCATCAATAAAAGACCGTCAAATCCTATTTATGAGCCACCTCTGGTATGGCGCCGGGGAACATCTTCCTCATCTTCTCCCCCCCTCCCCTTTTTAGCTAAGCCTCTGCAATGGCACGCCGACGGTTAAAATGTTTATACATGTAGTAAAAAAAATCCGTCTTATTATATAGACTTATAGTTACAGTTGGATGGCGCGCTGACTGAAGGAAATAAAACTACTACTTTAGCACAATCTTACAATAGAAGACGCCACAGTACATAGCAATTTAAATACAACCTGGTGATTCGTGGGGAAAGGGGGGGGGGGCTCTTGTCCAACCCAAATGACGTCCCTGGATTTCAGACGGCGCCTCCAGTAATAACCACCTTAACAAGCCGACGAAGTTTTGGTTTTGCTCCCCCCCCCCCCCCCCCCCCCCCCNTTACAATAGAAGACGCCACAGTACATAGCAATTTAAATACAACCTGGTGATTCGTGGGGAAAGGGGGGGGGGGGCTCTTGTCCAACCCAAATGACGTCCCTGGATTTCAGACGGCGCCTCCAGTAATAACCACCTTTACAAGCCGACGAAGTTTTGGTTTTGCTCCCCCCCCCCCCACTTTCCCATTTGAAAAGAGACAACTGAAAAGAAAAGAATCTTCATTTTAAGGCAATTTCAAAATTCATTCCGTGTCTTTGAAAAATATCATGATATATATAACCAACACATAAATGTGAATCAATTTAAATAGAGGATTTTCATTGCGTCATCCAATTAAATGTTGAGTGTCACGTGGTTGAAAAAAAACAACAACAACAACCCCATATTTGGTTCCAAATGATTGTAACTCTAAAACAATGGACTATAGTTTTTATTTTGTGTATAATATGTTACAATGTAAATATATGCAGATTTCTTTGTACCAGATAATATTATTCAAAATGTATTTGTTTGCTTGTGCTTGCTGAGTCCTATTATAGCTGAGCCATCGAGGGCGCTGGAATTCAGACGTTTGGGGCGGATGTGGCAGTGTAGGTCACGATTTTACGAAGCAGTTTTTAGCGCCCAACACTGTACTGAAATTTATAGGGCGCGCACTAAGCAGGTTTTTTTAAATTCAAGGTTTTAATCGCATCACTAAAAGTGCGCCATTGTTCACCTCGCATCACTAAAAGTGTGCCATTGTTCACCCTGCATCCCTAAAGTGGGCCATTGTTCACCTCGCATCCCTAAAGTGCGCCATTGTTCACCTCGCATCACTAAAAGTGCGCCATTGTTCACCTCGCATCACTAAAAGTGTGCCATTGTTCACCTCGCATCACTAAAAGTGCGCCATTGTTCACCCTGCATCCCTAAAGTGCGCCATTGTTCACCTCGCATCACTAAAAGTGTGCCATTATTCACCCTGCATCCCTAAAGTGCACCATTGTTCACCTCGCATCAGTAAAAGTGTGCCATTGTTCACCCTGCATCCCTAAAGTGCGCCATTGTTCACCCTGCATCCCTAAAGTGCGCCATTGTTCACCTCGCATCACTAAAAGTGTGCCATTGTTCACCCTGCATCCCTAAAGTGCGCCATTGTTCACCCTGCATCCCTAAAGTGCGCCATTGTTCACCCTGCATCCCTAAAGTGCGCCATTGTTCACCCTGCATCCCTGTGTTTTAAAACCCATATTTGTCCCACCCCCTGGTTGTTGTGTTGTAAGAACCTTCATAAACTCTGGTTTACCTACCGTGTTGTGTTGTTTTGTTAGTCCCTTTGTACTTGTTTTGTTGTACTCACCGAAACAGTGGTGTGTTTTACTACATAAGGAGACCACACCCAACCCCTCATACTCTAACTTAAAAAGCCCAGGAGTTCTCTTGTCGTATGCTTTTCTAGACCTACAATCTTTACAAGCTAATTCTAAAGTGCCGTTGCCGTTAATAAAGGTCTCTCTATGTATATCACAGACCTCAGAGGGAAATCACTGGTGGTAAATACTAAAAAAGTCATGTTTCAGGTGGGGCCTAACTACGTCAGTCAAGGTACTTGTACTAAGGGCTAAGTATAGACTGTCTGTATCCATTTCACAGAGTTGAAAATCAGTCCTGTCTATGTATTTGTCTAAAAAGTCATAATAAACTCTAACGTCCTAAGTTTTGCATATTGATAAACAAAAAACCCTATCTGGAGGGTTAGATCCCAATCTACTTTCTTTTTTAACATTTCAAATTCAAACAGGTCTTCCGCTAGCGATGTCATTTTTAAAAAATCTCGGGTGAGGAGTCCAATTGCAAACCCCGCTAAGTCGATTTTTAAAAAAAAATGAGTTAGTCCCCTTGGCTCATCTATGAAGTGCTATTTCACAATATTTTACTAGTTTTTAAAATCAAAACCCGCTAAGTTCGCTTATTTCGGTATTTAAAAACGGAGTGGCTATAGCAGCAATTGGCTATTCGGATCAGGCTGGTCACGTGAGGACTTTATATATTCGGTTGATCACGTGATAGTTATGACCAGGGCTACCACACCTTGGGAAATTTCCCAAGATCTTGGGAATTCACGACCCCCATTGGGATCTGGGGAATAATTTTGAAAATCAGGCAAAACCTTGGGAAATCTTAACTGGGGGGAAAATTTTGTTATATTTTTCGAAAAAACGCAACAATATCTGATAAAAAATAAAGTAAAAATAAAGCAAAATAATTTTTTAAGTAACAAGGCAAAAAATTAATTGTTTTCATTTTCTTTTCTGGTTTTAATTTTTAAATCCACTCATAAAATAAATAAAAACTCTTCTGATTTTAAAGTTAATATTGTGAATTATTAAAAAGTTAATAATTTTTTTAAAAAAATTCAATTTTCTCTTTAAAAAAAAAAAATTGAAGATTTACAAATTACATCCAGGTTTTGAATGTTTATTAAATGGTGTGGGGGGGGGGCGGGGTTAGGCTCGGAAACTTTATCATTATGCTCTTAGACATTAGCAACCATACGAAAAACAGTACAAGCCAAAGAGTGAACGATAGACGATAGTGTTCAATCAAGAATCCATGCCATAGTAGAATTTTATTATTTCAATTACTTCTACAATGTGTTCAAAATATATTGCATCTGTAAAAAATACAGCCTAATTTTCATCAATTAGAAAAAAATATTTGTGGATTGAAACACGGGTAATAGTTAATATTAATAGTATAGGCCTACGTTGTAGGATTATAAATGAACAATTTCTTTAAAAGTATTTTTTTTTTGGTGAAAAAATCGTTATAATGTAAATTTACAAGAAAAAATAAAAACACTTATTGTTTTCATCGTAATATCAATCCATTTTAACTAAAATTATTATTAATAAATTTTGCTTAATTGCTTTGCAAAGCCCACTTGTGATCAACAGATTTACAATAATAAAAAATCATTTTTTGATGAAGAAACATTTGCCTTTGTAAAAGGAATTCTGTGTTGATTAGCCTTGTAAGCTTTTTTTCCAAGTGACTTCTATTACACATGTATTGTAGATGATATTTTTATCAGAGAATTCGGAGGTAATATTTAGTAGCCTAACTCCAGTGGGTATTGATATTTTAGATTATAAATTATTTTTTTTAAAACAAATTGTTTTTTAAATGTGATAAACATGTTTTAAATGTCTTTTTCAATAAATTTCAGTCCATTAATATACCATGTTTTTCAGGGGCATTGATTCAATCTATTATTACATTAATTACATAGAAAACCCCCCTTTAAAAAAAAAACTCTTTTATATTTTTATGATCTTGGGAAATCTTGGGAAATTCGTTCACCAAATCTTGGGAAATTTAAAAAAAGTGAGTGGCAGCCCTGGTTATGACCGGATACC